ATGGCGCTAGCTCATTTTGGAAGCAGTAGAGCCATTTGCATCTGTCTTCTGCATCTGTGTTATTGCTCTGTCATTGACGGCTGGCCATTCTAGCTTCATTCTAAAAATAAGCAATTTGGTTGAGTTTTGGAGATTTTACAAGTTGAAGATGAAGACCTAATTGTGCATTTTCACCATATTTTACTATTTTATCTTCGTAAAGGGAAGAACGTGTGTCACACTTGTGAAAAGTTGCATAAAGTTTATGGTGACAATCCTCTACAAGAACATCAGTGCCAATGGTGGTTCATGAAATTCTGTGTTGTTGATTTTGATCTCGACGATGCTCATCAGTCCGGAAGGCTAACCGTGGTTGATGACGACAAAATAAGGGCATCTATTGAGTCAAACCCACATTACATGGCATGAGATATTGCAGGATCATTGAGTATCCATCATTCAGGTGTTCACAACCACCTGAAAAGGCTGGGATATGTAAGCAAGCTCAGTATTTGGGTTCCTTACGATCTGAAAGAAGTTCATTTGACAGCAGGTATAAACATCTGCTTTGTGCTCGTTAAACCTAAGGAAAATGACCTTTTCTGTGTGTATGTGACTAATAGTTGGTGGTGAGAAGGGGGTGGTTATGACTGGATGGTGTGCCAACGGTCTTCATCCCGCTGTGATGATTCGCCTCAAAATTGAAAGCAGACTTTCATCACAGGAAGGTTATGCTCTTATTGTGGTGGGAATTTAAAGGTGTCGTGTTTTTTGAGCTTCTACCAAGGAACCAATCGATTTGATTGTGTACTGTCGGCAGTTGGACAGTTTGAATGAATCCATCATCCAGAAATGCTCTGTTAATCATAAAAGAGTTGTGTTCCATCACTGCAGTGCAGGACCACACACGTTTGGTCACCCATCAAAAATCACTGGAGCTTGGATGGGATAGGTTGCCATACCCACCATATTCTGCTGACCTTCCACTTGTTTCTCTCACTTCAAAATTCCTCAGGTGGCATAATGAAGCTGTAAATCAGCACCTTGTTCAGTTTTTCACCAGTAAAGACAGGTCCTTCTATGAACGAGAAATATGAAGCTCACTGAAAGACAACAAAAGGTTATCAAACAAAATGGGCACTATATAACTGATCTTTGTTCTTTATGTAAATAAATGACCTTTTAAAAATGTAGAAAAAAAACACGTCATGACTTTTCTGAAAACCCAATATCATAAGGGCAATTAAAACTATTTTAAACTTAAATGAAACAGTATATTAAAATAAGTGGGGTGGATCTAAAGGAGTGAATAGAGGGAAATTTATAGTTTTAAATACTTTTATCTGAAAAAGAACAGTGTTCTCAAATCAATTATCTAGGCTTGCACCTTAAAAACAAGTAAGTAGAAATGAAACTAAAAAGCAATTAGAAGAAAGGGTTTAAGGAAGGGCAGCAATTTAAAAAATTAATCCCAGCAGACCATACTACAGTGTTTTCTCTTTCTCCTCGTCAGAATTTTAGACATTCACATATGTGTCTGGAGAGTTTCCCAGACCAGGGACCACAATTCAGACTGGCTGGATCCAACTCCCAGTCCACTGCATTATGGGACCAGCCCTGATGAAAACATTATCTTAGTTACGGTCTTGGTTAAATGAAAGTATGCATTTTTGAAATTTAGTGAACTTTATCCTAAATTGTGTATCCTTCAGTAAAGTTGATTGAGAGAAAACAGAATGTGCTTTCAGATTATAGAAGTATTTTGTGAAATGGAATATATGCAGTAAAAGAAGTTAACCAAAATGCATTGAGAATGGAGAATTTTAAAATACAGAAGAGAGCACGAGAGTGGCATAAGGGTGTAATGAGACCAGCTTGGACACTTTGATCAGTCTTAGGAAATACACTACCAGCAAGGGACGCCCACTGAAAGAGGTGTGTGGTCAGCAGGGAGGTGGCGCTGTTGCTGCAGGGCTGCTCTGAGGCCGTGAAGAGCAGAGACAGTGGAGACACGGGTGCAGGAGCACCATGTCCAGTGCTGTCACAGAGCAGTACGTGAGGAGCAAGGGCGCTAAGTCTCAGGGGAGTGATGTTGATAGACTTTAGAGCCACAAAGGGAAAGGGAAACTTACAGACCAGTTTCAATGGCTAACGTAGATGCAGACAATCCTCTACAGGTGGCTGGATCCCACATATTTAAGGAAATATGTGGACAGCAAATCCAGTGAACTTGTAAAAGTACTTCGTGGTAATGGGTTTTCCCGGGAATGGAAGTTTGGTTTAACATTAGCTATCAGTGTAATCACTATATAAAGAGATTTTTAAAAAGAAAAAGGAAGCGATGGTTTCAGTCGATTCAGAGTAAATTGAACCAAATTCAATATTCGTGGTTAAAAAAAATGCCTAACTAAAAATAGAACAAGTTTACTTAAATATGATAAATGGTATTTGTTTTGAAAAAATACAACAAATATTGTATTTAATGATGAACCTTTGAATGCTTTCCACTTTAGATTGGATAGGATACTCCCTCAGCAGTGCTTTTCAAAACATAATGGAGGCTCAGCAATGTCAGTAAAGCAAGAATAAGGAAAAAAAACGATAAGGATTGGGAAGGAAAGAAAGCAGACTTATCATTTTTATACATGATACATTTGTATATGTAGAGAATCTCGAGGAACTCTGATACATCCATTGTAGTTGGGGAGTTTGACAGTGTTTCCAGATACAAAGTCATTATACAGACATCAATTCTGTGTCTGTAAACCTCTAACAAACAAAACTTTTTAACTAAAAATGCCATTTACAATAGCACCAGTGCTATTCAGTGCAAGGACACGTTAGAATAAATGCATATTGTCTTGTTTACTTCTTTTCTTTAGACTTAAATCCAGGAGATGTGCGTATTTCAAATTCACTAGGCCCATGTTATGAAGAAAGAAAGATACACATTTTCTCCAGCATACCACAGGGTAACATTCTGAAATAATAATTTGCAATAATATTTTTGAAGCACGTTGATCGTAGAAGAATAGAATATCTTAGTAATAGCAGAGTTTGGGTTTATTCCACCTATATCCCTAGCCAGTATCAAAGTCTTTTCTACATTATGCTTGAAAATTTTATCTGATCATAGTCCATTCACTTTTTTACCCAAATTTTGCACTCACGAAAACTTGGCATTTTCGGTACTAAGTGACACAGTACTCGGAGCCGCAGTTGGCCATGTGGAAGTCCCGCGCCCTTAACCATCAGACCATGTGCTGCCCACTCTCCCACCCCCAGAGCATCTGTAGAGGGCTGGCTCCATGGCGCAGTGGTGATGCATTGCTCAAGAGAAACGATTCCACTTGGTGACTGCGACTGGAATCTCTGGCCTGGTCAGCACAGAGCATGGCAGTCATACCTGGGAATGCCCAATGTCCAGCAGACTGAAGGCCTGAAGCAGAGTTACGGTGTGTCCAGCCTAGTGGGGGGTGCTCTTCTCTCTCTCTTACTCATTCTCGTGTGCACATGTGCTCTTTCATGAATAACGAAAAGATATAATTTATGAAATGCTTCTGGTATTTTATGATTCAGGAATACTACTGAGAAAATTTTCTTGTATTTGTAAGGTCTGTCATGCCACCTTTCGGTTTCCCTCCCTAATCCACATATGCTTACCTTAATTCCTTTTCTTGTTTTTCGAATTATTTTGCCAAACTGGTCATTTTTACTGTTGTTGGCTATCTTGTAATTTATTAAGCTGTTTAAAACTGTATATGATAAAGGTTTCCAGAAAGAAAATTACAAAATCTTAAAATTAGTATAACCAAAATGTAGACTACTTGGAAAATTAATGAACTACAATTTTGTTAACTTGACAAAGTTTTCAATACTTTCCAGTTTTTTTTAGTTTAAGTTAATGCATAGTAATTAAGAAATTGTTGTGTTTTAATTTTTACAGTTAGGATTAAACTTTACACATCATACTTTCACAGCA